ACATCAACAATAGTGGGAAACATGGGATAATTTTAGCATAACGGGCTTCGCCCGTTATGCAAATTATCCCATGTTTCCCACTATTGTTGATACCCTGGCAACTCTCTAAACTAGACAGTGATTCCTTAGTAAACTTCCAAATCAGGAGGTGAAACACACATGACACTGCTGTTCAGTGTATGAGATGCTGATTTTGATTGAATCGTGTCAAAATCATTTAAATAGAGAACTCGACAGCTTCTCTATGGTTGATGCAAATCTGGGGGCGCACTCATCTACCCCCAAAGAGGGTGTTGCAGTTCCTATGTCATACTTCCCTAAAGCTGTAGCAGTTAAAAATAAAAATATTAAGTCAAAGAAAATAACGTAAGTTCTCCCCTAAAAATTTTTACTGCACAATTAAGAAATGTATATGGGCACTCCATACCGGTTTTTATTTTGTCATGAAACGAAACGTAAATTTACCAACAGAAAAATGTTCCAGTTTTTGTGCTTTTTATAAGAGGATGCATTGTTTTGAAAACTGCCTCTTTGAAACAAAAATTATTTGATGTTAAGCATTGGAGACATGGATTTTCTTTAAAACTGCAATTTTCCATTTTTTTTTCAAAGAAGTTCATTTAAAAAAAGAAAAACTTTCAATACCTCAGGAATTTAAAAACTGTGTGCATATTATTGGCTCAAAATAGGTCGAGTGGAAAAAGCGATACCCCACGTTTATATAATGTCTTTTTGGCAAAGGTTTTAATCCTTCAATGGGTGATTTATTATTTGATTACATACAATTTTAAATAAGATGCATAGAAACTTAAAAGACAGAAAGACCATTCTTCAGAAACTACATGCATTTTGTCAATATCCATTTACATAAACATTGTAACTTTCCTTGAATCTGTGCAAAGCGAAGAGGAGTATGGAACGCCAAAGTTTTATGCTGTTTATGCCGTTTTTGGAGACACTAGGTTCTAATTTTTACAGTGTAATAAGAGTGTTGAATTGAGGGAGTGTATATGTATTTCAGGTGTTATATTGATAGTGTGTATGTAAAATGTTCAGTTGAATGGGTGTAAAAGACGTGTTCATTTGGAGTGTAACTCTGGTGCTCATTTAGCAGGTGCAGAGTCAAAGTTTAGAAAAGCAATTGCATCCGATAACTACAATCTTTAAACTTTAAAGATACGTACGGTGTTTTTGATTTTCTAAATAAAGGACTTTAGGTGTGCTTATGGCAAGGCGAGCACGTGTTATTTTGGCTGTTTGATTACATCCATAGGTGCTTACTGTATGATGTAAACCAGTGAAATATTTCTGCTTTAGGTGGAAGACTATGACTATATTATATGCCTTAATTTTGTTTGCTGTGTGTATATAATTTTGATATATCAAAATATGTAAATAACTTTCAAAAAGTTGGGATGGCTGCCACGTCAAGTGGTCGCAATCTTGGCGGATTAACGAATTTGTCTCCAGAAAGAAAATAGTATCGCGAGAATACTTTGTATGTAAAAGTAAAGGACTGCTCTTCATTTAAACCTGAAGAAATTATCCAGTATATCCATTCCAATTGCAGTATTGGTAGTCTATTAGCATACGTTCCAAAATCTGGAATTTTGTACGAGATTACATTGTATATGGGAAAGCCCCTTTGCAGTACATGTACCTCCTTGAAAGGATAAAAATCTGTCAAAACACATTCAAATGTCTGGAGGTAGTACCAAGTTCATAGGTTTGAATCCCTCAGTGGGTGATTTGTGTATTTATTTATTTATTATTTGATTCAATACAATTTTAAATAAGATGCACAGAAACTTAAAAGACAGAAAGACCATTCTTCAGAAACTAAATGCATTTTGTCAATATCCATTTACATAAACATTGTAACTTTCCTTGAATCTGTGCAAAGCGAAGAGGAGTATGGAACGCCAAAGTTTTATGCTGTTTATGCCGTTTTTGGAGACACTAGGTTCTAATTTTTACAGTGTAATAAGAGTGTTGAATTGAGGGAGTGTATATGTATTTCAGGTGTTATATTGATAGTGTGTATGTAAAATGTTCAGTTGAATGGGTGTAAAAGACGTGTTCATTTGGAGTGTAAATCTGGTGCTCATTTAGCAGGTGCAGAGTCAAAGTTTAGAAAATCAATTGCATCCGATAACTACAATCTTTAAACTTTAAAAATACGTACGGTGTTTTTGATTTTCTAAATAAAGGACTTTGGGTGTGCTTATGGCAAGGCGAGCACGTGTTATTTTGGCTGTTTGATTACATCCATAGGTGCTTACTGTATGATGTAAACCAGTGAAATATTTCTGCTTTAGGTGGAAGACTATGACTATATTATATGCCTTAATTTTGTTTGCTGTGTGTATATAATTTTGATATATCAAAATATGTAAATAACTTTCAAAAAGTTGGGATGGCTGCCACGTCAAGTGGTCGCAATCTTGGCGGATTAACGAATTTGTCTCCAGAAAGAAAATAGTATCGCGAGAATACTTTGTATGTAAAAGTAAAGGACTGCTCTTCATTTAAACCTGAAGAAATTATCCAGTATATCCATTCCAATTGCAGTATTGGTAGTCTATTAGCATACGTTCCAAAATCTGGAATTTTGTACGAGATTACATTGTATATGGGAAAGCCCCTTTGCAGTACATGTACCTCCTTGAAAGGATAAAAATCTGTCAAAACACATTCAAATGTCAGGAGGTAGTACCAAGTTCATAGGTTTGAATCCCTCAGTGGGTGATTTGTGTATTTATTTATTTATTATTTGATTCAATACAATTTTAAATAAGATGCATAGAAACTTAAAAGACAGAAAGACCATTCTTCAGAAACTACATGTATTTTGTCAATATCCATTTACATAAACATTGTAACTTTCCTTGAATCTGTGCAAAGCGAAGAGGAGTATGGAACGCCAAAGTTTTATGCTGTTTATGCCGTTTTTGGAGACACTAGGTTCTAATTTTTACAGTGTAATATAAGAGTGTTGAATTGAGGCAGTGTACATGTATTTCAGATGTTATATTGATAGTGAGTATGTAAAATGTTCAGTTGAATGGGTGTAAAAGACGTGTTCATTTGGAGTGTAACTCTGGTGTTCATTTAGCAGGTGCAGAGTCAAGTTAAAAAAGAGCATTTGCCTCAAATGACTACAATCTTTAAACTTTAAAGATACGTATGGTGTTTTTGATTTTCTAATCAAAAGACTTTGGGCTTGCTTATGGCAAGGCGAGCACGTGTTATTTTGGCTGTTTGAATACATCCATAGGTGTTTACTGTAAGATGTAAACCAGTGAAATATATCTGCTTCAAGTGTTAGACTACATGTATATTATATGCCTTAATTTTGTTTGCTGTGTGTATATAATTTTGATATATCAAATATGTAAATAACTTTCAAAAAGTTGGGATGGCTGCTACGTCAAAAGGTCGCTATCTTGGCGGATCAACGAATTTGTTTCCAGACAGAAAATACTGTCGCGAGAATACTTTGTATGTAAAAGTAAAGAACAACTCTTCATTTAAACCTGAATAAATTATCCAGAATATCCATTCCAATTGCAGTATTGGTAGTCTATTAGCATACGTTCCAAAATCTGAAATTTTGTACGTGATTACATTGTATGGGAAAGCCCCTTTGCAGTATACATGTACCTCCTTGAAAGGATAAAAGTCTGTCAAAACACATTCGAATGTCATGAGGTAGTACCAAGTTCATAGGTTTGAATCCCTCAGTGGGTGATTTGTTTATTATACCCCCGCTTGAAAAGCGGGAGGGTATATAGTAATCGTTAATTCCGTCTGTCCGTCCGTCCGTCTAGCTGTACGTCCGTCCGTCTGTTACGCTTTGGGGTACCCATCTCTTATCCGCAACTCCTCTTATACCACTGAATGAAATTTGATGAAACTTTCACAGAATCTTTATTACCATTGTGCACCTCCTATTTTACTTTTTGATCCAATACATATTTTGGGTTTCCCATAGCAAAACATGAACACTGCCATTTATACACATATGGGAGGCGGGGGTATCATTTAGTGAGCCCATTGCTCACAGTTCCTTTAGTTTATTTATTTACTTTTTGTTTAAATACAATTTTAAATACGATGCACAGAAACTTAAAAGACAGAAAGACCATTCTTCAGAAACTACATGTATTTTGTCAATACCCATTTACATAAACATTGTAACTTTCCTTGAATCTGTGCAAAGCGAAGAGGAGTATGGAACGCCAAAGTTTTATGCTGTTTATGCCGTTTTTGGAGACACTAGGTTCTAATTTTTACAGTGTAATAAGAGTGTTGAATTGAGGGAGTGTATATGTATTTCAGATGTTTATTTGATAGTGTGTATGTAAAATGTTCAGTTGATTGGGTGTAAAAGACGTGTTCATTTGGAGTGTAACTCTGGTGCTCATTTAGCAGGTGCAGAGTCAAAGTTAAAAATAGAGCAATTGCATCCGATAACTACAATCTTTAAACTTAAATAATACGTATGGTGTTTTTCTTTTCTGAATAGCGTTGATATTAAGGCTAGTGTCCATTTGCAGGGTGGGGAGTTCAGATGTTGAATTGGCACCTCTTACACGTATGTGTGTGTGTGTGTGTGTAAATAATGATATGTGTAGAACACCTTGTTGAAATATTGTCATATATGGAAACATTTGAAAGAGTAAATAATACAAATTAATAGGTACCGAGATTGTATTTTCCACCTTGGTCCTTAACATATAGACATTCAATTCTCCCTTCTTCCATACAATCATTTAAGTATACGATCAATTGTTAAATTGTTTTTTTTTTTTTTTTTTTTTTGTCATTCAAGCACGTCTACTTGAAATAACGGGACATCTCAATATTTGACTTTTTAGGTTTTGCCTTTTTCATCTAATAACACCAAAGATAATATTATTTTATATCAGAGTTAAATTGAGAATTATCATTGATATAAAAGTGTAAATGAAAAAGGACTTGTCAATTTCACATCAATTTTACAATTCCATCTTCATGATCTTCTCTTGGAGAAAACTTAGTACACTTTGAAACTCCTCAATTCTTCCGAAGATAACATTCACCTCCCTTATTGCTTTCAGTTTCATATCAAACACCCCATTGTCTTTGACATCAGCACATTCTTTGATATATATTTCATCGTTTATTTCCTTTAGAACATCTACGCGTTGTCCAAATATTACCACTCTGTTGGTAAAATATGAACCTTTATTAAAAGTTTCCATAAGAGGCAGATCAGAATTATCAGGACGAACTCCCTCTTCCCACAATTTTTTCACCATTTCTGGTCTACCTAGATACACTGCTACGTGTAATGTCGTTGGCAGATCACTGCTATTACGTTGAAAGACTAACATTTTGTCATATTTTAGAAGGCATCTTAAAATATCGCCATAATTATGCATCACAAGATAATGCATAACGTTGTTGTTGTATTTATCAACAGCCATATATAGGTCAGATTCATAAACTTCGGGTGCTTTTGTTAGCAAATCTTCAAGAATACTTTTAAAACCATTACTACCTGGAAATGATACAGAAACGTTGCGAAACAAAGAATCACAATAATCATAATTATCTTTGAGGGACGACGGGAAAATAACATCCTGAGCTCCGTATCTGAGTCCTAATAGAGCTGTCTGTAGCACCGAATTACCATCCACCGTTCTTTTTGTTATATCATGTCCAAGATTTATTAATTTCTGCAATATAGATGATCTTCCAGCATATGCAGCAAGATGAACACATGACCAATTGTCTACCGTCACTGTCGGTGTGAGTATCTCCAGTATCATGTCTACCAAGTCTTCAAATCCATGAAGAACACAAAAATGGAGAATAGAAAGGCCGGCGTATGTGGTTAAACGTAGAAGAGACAGTATTTTAGGTCGATTACGATATTTGCAGATATACGGTACGATAATCCTCAATGCATTTCTTCTATTGAAATTACAACTGAGCACTTTTTTAATACGCTTTATACTTATTTTAAAATTTGATTCATCCATCTGTTGGATTGAATTTTCTTGATGAGGACCAAAACGCCCTAGAAGTTCCCGAAATACAATTTCGTGTCCCAAACTTGTAACAACAATACGACGACAGAGAATGCGGTACACGGTATACAATCTGTCAGAAACTCCACGATTACAGAAAAAAGAAACAAACCCAGGGTCTTCACATGCCGGATGCCGAACAATATCTACAGCCACCTGAAATGTATCCTGTATTGCTTCCCCGTCACCATCATCGTCACGTAATAGTCTTTGTGTCAGATCTTCATAATTAGCTTTTGGAATCTTCAGAACAACTTCACAGGGTTTTGTATCATAGTTCTGTGAACGGATCAATTCATGTAGTTTTTCCCTACTACAACGTTTAATCACAATTTCTGGAGCTAATTGTCCAAATGATACTAAGACGGTTTCTAAAATAGTTTCATGCGAAAACTCGTAAGGATGTTTTGTGGTTAGTTTTGACAAGAACAAACCATTTAAGTCATTGATTGCGTCTTTTATTTCAATATCAAGGATATTGTTGATCCTCAATTTCTCATAGATAGTTTTAAACAGTGCCTCAGAAACACTATTTGGTTCAATATTCCCATGAATAAATACATAGCATAAGATACAATATTTGACCTTTTCAATCATATTTCCTGATTTTGAACGCCGCATATCCTCTATTGTTTCGAACAAACTCCCATTGGGTCGATGAAAATAAGAGGGACCAAGCTGAAAAAACTCTTGTCTGGTAAAAAACTGATAATATGTCAAAGGGAATCCATAATACGGCTTGGCAGAAAGAATCTCCCACTTCTCAGCAAAAGAAAGTTTGTAGTTAGCATTCAATCCATTCATTTCAGAGTACCTTGCAAATTTGTTACCAGGTAGTTCCGAGGCTTCAAATTTACACTTGTCCCCATAAACTTCAACCATTTTCACTTTATCATTCATTGTCAAATTTTCTTCTGAGGAGATATCGATTATGTTTCCATCATGGAAAATTGCATGTTCCAACCTCTTCCTTGTTTCATCTAATACATTCTTTCTTAGTCCAAACAACACCATGATATTTCCAGTTTTAGCACATGAAAACATTATATCGAATTGATTTTTCCACTTCTCAACTGCTCCTGTATCTTGATTTGTTGAACCAAAAATATCATCTAGGTAAACGATATATCGATATGCAGGATTTATAACTTTATCCCATTGTTCTGGAGATTTTATAAAAACAGGCGTGAAAGGAAATTCTAATAATGGATCAGACATCTCACGCATGACTTGATACGCAGTGGTGGTTTTGCCAGTCCCGGCTTTTCCTGTCAGTATAGCGATGTGGCTCTTTCTGAGTTTTTCCACAGTATTTTGGACTCCCGATGTTCTAATATTGACCTTATTAAGGTCTTTATTTCTCAAAACAGCTAAAGTAGTTGCTTAAAAGAAGAAATGGAAAAAAAAAATATTTCTTTCAAGGTACAGGATTAAAGTGTAAGGTATCATGCATTCAATAAATATTGAGAATAAAATGCTAACTTATATCTTTTAATTTACTAATCAAATACGACGAAGAAATGTAGAAAAATAAAAAAAAATGTAGAGCACTTCTTTTTCATTCGCAAGTGAGTTAAGGCTAATTATGGATATTTCTATGCAAATAAGCTAATAAAAATTTATAAATGGTATATTTTGTGTACAGAGAAAGTTCAAATAAATTTTCTTATACATACTAAGTACCCACAGTTTATTAATGCAAGTGCACATTATGACGTCATATTATGACGTCATTGTTCTCTCCCATTCAAGGTAATGAATCACATCAACAAAATCACGTCGGCGCAAGGGCATATCCTATCTAATTTAAAATAAACAATGTATAATATTAAGGAGATTATTATCAAAATTGATGAAATTGCTGCACAAATCCTATGCACTTTCTCAATCGATAAAAATTTTAGGAAACTTACACTGGACTGTGAATTTTTACCCTGTTTAAACTTAAAACTGCATGAATAGTAACTAAACAATTACAGTGCCGACATTTGTGCAGCAATATCTTAAATCCTTTGAATATCCTGCGTCTTTTTATACCTTGTTTCTGTTAAACAAAGTAAGGTATGCCCTTGCGCCGAAGCGATTTTGTTTATGTTACTTATAAACTTGTGTAGTAGAGGTCGATGACGTCATAGTATGACGTCATAATGTGTACTGGCTATCGCATGTCGTGCGTACCATGAATGTATTAGAAAGCAAGTCTAAGCATTTTCTGTGTAGTAGGTAGAGCAATTATGGAATTTAATTAGATATTTTGCATATAAACCTCCATATGTAGCCTTAACTCACTTGCGTTATACATGTTCATTATTTTAACATATAAATTCATTTCAATGCTTACCAAGAATGTTGTCTCTTTCGGAATCTGGTAGTGTTTCTGCTGAAGAAAAATTACGAATAATTAGTCAAAATCGATTTTTCTAAATTTAGATTTCTAAATTTTTGTAAAGGAAAAATAAATTTATCCGTGCCTTTCACCCAATTTTGCAAGATTGATTAAATCAATGTTTTAACCTGTTCTTTGCATTCTTTGTTGAGTTTGAAGTTCAAATTTCTGGCGTTTTTGCTCATGTTTCAGTTTTGATATCTCAGTTCCTTGATTTATTTGAATGTTTTCCAATTCAAAAACTTCCTTTTGTTGTTTTATTTGCTCTGTTTTCCTCCTTTTTCTTTCTTGTTTGATTTTAGACTTAAGCATTTCCTGTTCTTCTTTCAACACCCCTGTAACCTCTGAAAGGAATTTTAATTCAAAGCTTACTGCGTTATCTTTAATTTAGATGTTTCCTTTTTTTTCGTTTTAAAAAAAAAAGTTGATTAACAGAAAACAGCTTTGTATCAAAATCATTTTGTAAAAATGTCATTGATTAATTATGTAGATTTTATATAATTGTACTTCAAATGATACTAATTAATTTCTAAATGTATATTAACACTTAGTCCTTTATTCATTAAGAACAATTCAAAAACAAACCCTTTAGATCCTGGACATTTTGATTTTGTTGATCGATGATGTCAAGGAATGTTTTTTCCTGTTCAGGATCCATAGTATCATATTTAATCATCTTTGCAGCATTTGTGTATGTCGTGCATCCTCCAGGTAGACTACCCTCGAGTTCACCGATCATAATTGCAAGTTCTTTCCAAAGCTTCTGAAATTCTGAATCACATAGAGAGACACGGACTGCATGACCACAATAAGTATTTCTGATTTCTCTTATTCTGTCTATATTTGCAGAAACAGATCGGTCTGAAGGGTCCGGTGATTTAGCCCATCCTTTCTGGTGAGGCGGAATTCCTGATAAATTTCGAAGTAAAATATACAACAGGGACAAATCAAATTCTCCATACGTTCCATTGAAATAACCTGATTTTGGATAAAGTTTCTCTCTGTGTACTTTGTGTAATAACGGGAATAAAACACCTTTCTCCTGTTGAAGGGTACCAGAAAAAAGTGTTTCTGGAATATGGTTTCTAAGAATGTCTCTGAATAGGTCAGTACAGGGATCCAACAATAACCGGGAAACACGGGCAGCATTTGTTGTCTCTCTCGTAGAAATATACTTAGAACACGCCATTTTAGTCTGAAAAACAGTATGCTTCGAATGAAAAAAAACGCCAATCATTGAATGGAACAATATGTATCTTAGAAAGTCGTCAAGTAAGCTTACTTTAAGTGTTATGATAGTAAACAGGATTCGAAAAATACATGATAGATGCGTATTTGACACAGATATGGTGTTTTTTACTACCGACTCTAATCTAAAATACAAAAATGAAGTTTTTACATGAAAACTGTTACATGTACATGTACTGATGTGTTATGGGTATGTATGCTAAAAATCAAGTAGTTTCGTGGATATCAGTTGCAGATCCCTTTGGACACATTTAGTCAATAGGTACAATTTACAGACCCATTATGCATCCTAATGATGCTTTTTTTTTTACTTTATCTATATAAATTATTTTTTCTTTCACGTATGCTTCAAGTTACATGTATTTTCAAAATGTCATTAACAGGCCTCCATACTTTTCCTTTCTTTACACTTTTTGGGGGAAAATAAGTCAGTGATATTATTTTCATGTTTAAAATTCGAAAACATTTAGGTGATTATCTTGTTTAAAGGATACAATAGTACAGTGCACTCAAGTAGGCTGTATATTTAAGTCAAACGTTGAATTATCACTTCCTCTTTGGAATGACATATGCATTTCTATTTTATAAAACGAAAGTTCACATCTTTTTTAATGAAATTAAAGGTAGAGTTAGATTTCAACCTTTATTCTTTTCTTAAAATAAAACAAACGTACCTTATTTGATGTCAATTTTCACGTTAATTCTTTTAAAGTGGGAGAAGAAAGATTCGTATTTTACACTGACAAGAGACGCTCTTCGTTTTTATTATCATGGCCATGATGACGCAGTCTAATTATGGATCCCCGTAATATTCAAAACCGTATATCTATATTAAGTCTACTTGTATCTAGGTACACAGAGTCAAGATTAAATGTTTAATTTTTTTTTCTAAATCATGATACAAGTTACTTTATTTATAAAGTGTTTTATTTTTTAGTATAAGTATCTTTTTTTTCAAGCTTCTGAAAATTTTATAAATTGCATTTTAGACTTTAGGGAACAGGGAGTCCTTAGGAAATAGGGAGACACAGCGTTCATAATGCTACAAAAACAAAACAATGCAGCTTCAATTGTATTATCTACCTCTGCGAAAAAAGTACTTATATTAAATAAAAAAATAATAAACGGAAATACATGTACGAGGGTTGATCCAAAAGTAATTCATAGTCTCTATATCTTTAATATTTGGTGTCATATTATCAGATATAATGCACCAAAAGATGTATAAACATAAATCTAATCAAAATTGAAAATTTCATTTAATAAAGTTCAATTGAATTCACTTTATAGATGTTTAAAACATTTAACATAGGGGGTGTCGCCGCGTCACAACTTAACGTCACGTTTTAAAGTTAATATTGTTAGAATGAAAAAAGACTTTCACATTCAAAAAAGCCTCTAAAAAATCGTCTAATCGTCCGATATTTTAAAAGACAAAATTTAGGACATTTTCTAATCTTTAGTTAGAAATTAAATGGCGGCATTGCTTTTTTTTCATAATTAACACTATTGTTTATATCTAATGTATTGCAGAAAGGAAATGTCGAAATGGTATAAAACACCGAAACGAGTTGTAATGAATTTTTCCTTCAAAATCGGGAAATGACAAGTAGAAACAGTTATGATGGTAAATCAGACTCGCAGAGGAAGAATGTTAACGAAAGACTCGTTCATAGATGGTTTCAGAGATTCTGGGCGATTCATGGGTAATCAAATGATCATTTGGGGACAGAATTACCGAAAGATAGGAAGTCGGGTGGACACGTTCAATGGCGTCGACGTTGTCATAAAAGAGATTCGTGGCAGTTTGAGTGACATGAGACACTTTAAAGGTTGTCTTATGGTATTGTTCAAAGAATTTTGATGAAAGATAAAATTATAAATAAATTGTAGAATTGTTGCCAAATGTTTCTAAAATTATAAAATATGTGAATATTTTTCTTTTTAATAAAACGATGAGAATGTGTTTTTAAAAGTGTGTGACGGTGCATATCCGTTTTATGGCGTTATTTAGGTGCGGCGACTACCATAATCGACTTTGTGTTTAATTCGATATTTTGAAAAGTATAAATCATTTTAATTTGAATTTTTTAGGACTGATTTAAAATAAATATAGCTTCCATCATGTAAAATGTTGTTAATTCACGTCGACTGAAGAAATTTTATCGAAGTTGTGACATTACATTTGGATCAACCCTCGTAAATTGACACTAACATAAGAATATCTATTTATAAAATATAATAACTTATGCTTTTGCAGGAGTTACGTTTCTTTTTTTTTATTTTTTGTATTGATTAAAGTTTTTGATATTCATTTCGGTTTTAGGTAATTTCTCTGGTTTTGTTTTTAATTAAAACTATAAGTTTCCAATCTATTCGCGGTTTTTAATTATTCTTTTTATTTTCATTCTTTCAAATCCTGAAGCTATGCTTAATTTCTCATAAGACACATTAAAACAGACACATATTATGGCAATAGAAAATTGGAAAAAGATAAACTTAATACACACCAAAAATTTTTGTTGTTATTCAGTTTTATAACTGATTAATTAGAATTAATAAAATTAGTTAAAAGAATCATGAAACAACGTTTAACCTGTGATTTATGTCTAAAAATTTATCAGAGTTTCTGTTGATTTTAACATTTAATATTAAGATAAAAATGGATTCTAAAATAGTAAAAAGTATGAATATTTGATTTCTCCACAATACTTTGAAGGATGAAAATGTCTTCACAGAAAGAAAATTGAATACTTGAATACTTGCGTCAATATATATTTCTCCTTCAACAACTGTTGAGTATATTGTATATGAGCAAAACAAAGGTAGAAGAATATATATGAAACAAGATTGTTAGTATCCTAAGACCCAACTTTTTTTTTAAAACTGCCTTGTAAATGACTATTTAATTAAGTCGTTAAATATCTTCTCTGAAAACCATTTTAGAATGGTTCAGCAACGGATCATTTAGGAAAAAGATTTTGAACCTTTTTTTTATTTTCGAAAAAAGGAAGTTGAAAAAAATACCTTGCTTACTTCTATTTCTGCACTGAAAATCATTTTAGATATTTTAATTTTTACAGAACAATTATCATGCGTGTGTACAAATACTGAGTCATGTCTAGTTATTCATTAAATGTACTTCATCAATAAAAAAGAAAACAGAACAAGGGATTTAAAGACACTATCAATTATTTAACCTTGGAAACAGACAACCTATGAAATTGAGCCCAATTGATTAAATTGGTAAAACCAGTGTAGTTTCCTTTCATTATATGAACTAATAAACTCTTTGCATAATCACTAAATATGATACATTTTTCCCCATTGAATTTTTAGAATTTCATTTCAAGATCGAAAATAAATAGAATGATCAGCACAAATTATGAACTGTAAGGAAAAGTCTCTTAATTGTCGATGTCTACAAATCATAGTGGAGCCCTTCAATTTTACCTTTCACGGTAACGTATTGAATATAACTAATGTGTAAGTTTAACAACACCTGATTTTTCATCCTCAGCATATCCCATTTAAAGGTATTTGAATAAAAAAAAAATAGAAAAAAAAACACGAACGTTAAAGTACTAAAAATATTTTTTTAATGTTATACATAGGACAATTTATAATTTATAAAACACTAAAAGCAGCTAAATCAGTATAACTGACCATTTGAACAAGAAACCTATCATGTTTCTTTACTTCGAGTTTGACAGAATTTGAATATGTGTGCAATAGATATTGAAGATGTGTGTAAGACTCAGAGAGAGATTACTATTACTACATGTATAAAGATATCATGAATAAAATTGTAAAAATGTTAAAATTACAAGAAACATAATTTCATAAGCCACGGAGTAAATGATTCTATACAACAGGAAAAAAAATAAAGCTAAGTTTGCGTCATTTACCTTCTTAAAAAATGTATAAAAATGAATTGGCAAAGAAACTATAAATAATTACTTAGACAAACAAAACCCCTTGTTATTAATATCATGAGTAATTTTGGCACAATTATTTGTATTTTTGTACTAAGCTTTCACAAAATGGGGATATTAATTTTAGTCTGTCTATTCGTCCGTTCATGTTTTAAAACTTTTATTTCCACGCTATATCTTCAGAGTCCTAGTCTTCGTCCCGAACTCCTCCATTTTTTGCACAACTTAGCAGTGCTGTAGTGCTCAGTTGACGGTATCTATAGCCCATAAAGGTAGTAAAGTCTTACCTATCTTGTAGTACTCCGTGAACTGTATCAATAGCCTAGGGTACTGGGGCCTGTTTCACAAACGTTTCCTAAGATATATTGTAAAACATAACTTAAGGTATGCCTATGTTATAACTTAGGAAGTTCCTAAGATTTGTCACAGCTGTTTCAGGAAACAATCTTATCTTAAATTTTTCCTTAGTCGTTTCTTTAGTTGTGCCTTACTAATGACAGGTAATTTATCTCCTCCTCTAACTATAAGGACCAAAGAATTCAAATAACTTCTCCGCTCTCATGCATAGCTATTCATTTTATTAAACGGAGAGGAAAACTGGTTATAATCTCATAGGAACTGGAGGAGCACGGGAGGGGGTGATAAAAATTTTACTGATGTATAGAATACCATAGACAACAAAAAAGCGTTATGCTTGTGTCCCCTCAATAATAACACCCTAGAGGAGATAGATGCAACAATTCTTGGGAGAAACATCAACAGTATATGGTGGTTCATCAATAATCATCTACTTATAGAAAGAGAACAAGCGTTACCATTTATTCAAAATATCATTTTTCAAATTCTAATCTAATATCGAATAAAATACTAGTAATAATATATAGATATACATGTACATGTAGATAAAGTCATAATGTATACATGGATTTATAAATCATTATGGATCAAATCATGTGCTTTTTTATGTTTACAAAGGCGTGCTCTTCAAATGATGGGGAATTATTCCAG